TGGGAATATTAGGATGGAATGAACAGGATCTATTGAAACCACCTCAAGAGTGTAAAAAGGCACTGCTCCCGCTCTGAGCAATCACACACCCGAAAGGGTGGAGTGGGAAAGAACCACTTGCTATTCTCATTGTTATGATTCTTATCTTTATAAAAATTCCAAAACCTATCAGGTGACAGATTCCTACTTGGTCAAAAAGCCAGCATTTGCAACTCAATGAATTCAACCAATCTTTACTGAACACCCATGTCAGGCAAGACTCAAAGCCACATTCTTGGAGAACTAATAAAGGATACGGAGGCTATCTCCAGGACTGGTGGATCAGGGTAACGCTCAAATACCAATGAACCTGTCTGAAGACCTGGGCAGCTTCAAGAAGAGCAGAAATACTATCTGGAGAGTGTGTTAGGAATGAGGAACAAAAATAATTAACATTTCCTGAGCACCTTCTATGTACCAGGAGTGCTCAGTGTGACTTAATTGAATCTTTGCAGCCCAGCAATTCTATGCATTGGGTTATCGTCTCCATTTCACAGATCAGCACACTGAGGCTTGATGCGCTGATTTGCTCACACCTGGCTAAATGGTAGAGCCAGGCTGCATCCTCCTAGCAGCTCTGCTCTACCTCTGAAGAAAATGGCATTTGGAATCAGGCCAGGGAATGGCTGATAGAAACAAGGAACTGGAAAGTTTTCCAGACAGTAGGAAATGAGGGAGCATCATGGGAAATTCTAGGTTGGTGTTTATTATAAGGAATCTTAGAAGTCTGGCTTGGGAGTCTGTGCTTAACTTGGTAAATAGTAGGTGTCTTTGCATATCAAATCATCTCTCCTCAGTAAATTAGGATGTGTTGGATTTATCTAGAACCCAGGGTTCTTCTGAAACCATTTAACATGTAAATAAAGGAACAAAAGATTTACTCTACTGTGGTCAGACAGAATTAATGTAAGTTCAGTAACATAAATAAAATGATAATCATAAGTCACTTTATTTGTCATCAAGTTATATTATCAACAGGTTATTGTCATCAACAGATTAAAACAAAATGTCTCAAAAGGACAAAGGCAAACACATACTACCGAGGGTAAACAATGACCATCCCAGGCTTTCCAAGCATGTATATCACTTACACTCATGGACTTTTTTTCATTTGAAAAGGGCACTTTTGCATGTGTTTTATAACTATAAAAGTAATACATGCTCATTGCAGCAAACTTAGAAAATGCAGAAACGCACAAATATCTGTCTTCCATACAACACTAACTGCTACCTACCCTACATAGCTGTTTCTCACTTTCCAAACACTCCAGTGCTTTTTTATAACGTGTAAAGCGTTCCCCCAATTAAGTAGTCTATTGACTGGAAGTTCACAGGCTTCTGCTCTCATTGATTAGCAGAATTGGTCACACCTGTTAGATTCTCAGCCACCTCCTTTGTCATTTTCTCTCCTCTCTCTCCACCACTTCCCTCTCCCCTTTAAGAAAGACCTATCTCAGCCTGATGCAGTGGCTCATGCCTGTAATTCCAGCACTTTGGGAAACCAAGGTGGGCAGATCACTTGAGGTCCGGAGTTCGAGACCAGCCTAGCCAACATGGTGAAACCCCATCTCTACTAAAAATACAAAAATTAGCTGTGCATGGTGGCAGGCACCTGCAATCCTAGCTACTCAGGAGCCTGAGACAGGAGAATCGCTTGAACCTGGGAGGTGGAGGTTGCAGTGAGCCGAGATCGTGCCATTGCACTCCAGCGTGGGTGACAGAGTGTGGCTCCATCTCAAAAATAAAAATAAAGAAAGAAAGACCCATCTCATGAGTGCCAGAGACACAAGGGACCAAGCATAGGTCTACCCTGAGCACTTAGCATGGGGGGCGGGGCACTTGAACATTCCTTTTTTCTGTCTTTCATTCAACTGCTCAATAAGGTTCAAAATTAATATTCAAAATTAAGAAATGTCAAAACATTACCTTTGGGTTGGCATTCAAATAAACACGGGGAAGGGGAAACTTGAAATGCACAAGCATAAAAGTAACCTGTACATTGGTTATAAGGAATGAAATCGATGACTCTCACTTGTCAAAATGGGTTCCTCCCAGGAAGGAGTGACAGCTTCAGATGACTTTCTGACATTTTCCCCTTATCAACATTCATTTACAGAGTACTTTTGCAGTCACCAGGGAGATACAAATGATGTCCAAGATAGAGCCCTGCCTTCTTCCATAGTTTCAATCTTAACAGGAAAAAAAAAAAAACCCATAAAAAGACATATAGGGAAACAAAAAAAAAAAAACCTTTCAGATAAGATGTAAGTGGTATAATATCGCTAGAATGTTCTAGGAATTCAGAGACTGGAGCTCTCCCTGACTGGGGGGGTCAGGACTTTGACCTAGGCGTTGGAGTACAAATAAGATATACATGTGAAATGTGTGCGTGTGCGTGTGTGTGCATGTGAGTCCAGGTGGATGTGCACAGGTGAGGGGACTCAACACAGAAATAGCAGATTGAGCCAAGGTGAGGGGGTGTAGGAGACCAAGACATGTTGAAAGAAGAGAAAAGACCCAAACTTGGCTGAAGCAAAGAGAGTAACAGAAGAAAAGGAAGGTTGAAAGCCTGAAATGGCAGACTGAACGTTGGACTTTATTCCCTCTGCAATTTGGAATCATTTAGTCATTGAGCAAATGTTCCTTAATCACGTGGCCAGGCCCTGTGATAGGTATGGTGAGAAACAGAAAAAAACAAACAAAACAAACAAACAAAAACAACATGGTCCCTTGCTCTTGCCACCAAATTTCATGATAACATAAATTTCTGGAAATAGAATTTAAACTCAAAGAGGACTTATGAAGAGCAAAACAAAATTAGCCAAGATAACAGTTAATAATAAGGAATCTTCTTTGGTTACTTATTGCTGTGTGACAAATTATCCCAAAGTTTAATGACTTAAAACAACAATCATTTGATTCTTTGTTCATGCTTCTGCAATTGAGATGGGCTTGACACAGACGCTTGTCTCTTTTCCATATGGTGTCAACTGGAGTAGCTTCAACAGCTAGGGTCTGGCTGGAAGGGACAACTTGTGTCATGTGTCTGGGCTTCGGACTCTGCTGTGGGTTGGTGTCTCCATTCTCCTTCACATGGTGATCTCAGGCACTCTCCTTTGTTCCTGGTAGTTCCACTTCTTATGTGGCAGCTGGCTTCCCCCACAATTCAAACGAGGAAACTGCCAGGGTTCTAGGCCCAGCACAGTGCCATTTATCACAATCTCCTGATTAAAGCAAGTCACAAAGGCAGCCCAGATTCAAACAGAAGGGACTAAATAAGGACATGAGTATCAGGAGGCATGACTCCTTGGGGGCCACCAAAATAAAAGGTTACTGTGGAATCTTAAAGTCAAATAATTCAACCACATCTTCCACAATTTTAACCAATACAGCGACGTTAACTGCATAGGTTTTTCTACTCTATACCACATAACCCCACCCATCTCACCTTATCCCCACCTTTTTGAATGCCAGCCACATGCAGTCATTTCTCAGACCACTCACTGATCACTTAATGGAACTGCATCAAGTTTAAACCAACCTTGCAACAAAATTTCGAAGAGGCCAACATCCGGGGAGCAGGTGCTGGTAGGGGCAGGGGGCTTACCCCTCAGAACCACCCACACCCTCTTGAGCCTGTGTCCATCCTAAAATCTCTTGCTGTCATGTTCTTCAGATTCAAAACAGGAAGGAAGAAAATCCATTCCTGCCTGGCACTTGCCACTCCGTCTGCCATCTCCCACATCCTCATCTCGCCTAGGCCTCTCCTCACCCCCACATCTGTGTCACACCACCCTGTCCCTGGGAGCTACAGCAGAAAATTGAGTTCCTGATTCTCAGAATGCTGTTTAAGATCCTGCTGTAGTTTTTATAATCTCTCGTGTTTTAAATTGTCTTGAACAAAACACTCTGGGTATGGCCTGGATACTGAGTTCAGGGGTGGTACCAGAGTTTCTATAGAAGCCTGGGATGCAATCTGGTTGGAGGGAGGGTGAGCGGGACTAAGAGATTTTTCTTGTGATTTTTATGAGTGATGTGACTCCTCAGATAACTAGGATTGATCACCAAAATAATTGGCATTAATAGCCAAAAAGTAATTAATAAAAACATACACTCAGCTCACATAAATTAACGAAAATGTATACTTAGTACATATAAAAGCAAAAGTTAACTGGGCTTAGTAGAGGAGCAGAAGCAGAGACGTTTGCGTTTGTTTTGTTTTTAACATTTCTAACCATCCATCAGTTATTCCACGGACAGGCAGGATGGCATGGTTATTGAGTATGGGCTCAAGAAATCAGACCATATGCATTTGAATTCCAGCTCCACTGTTTACTGAGTTATCTGGGGCAAGTTACCTAATTTCCCTGTGTCTTAGCTTTCTATCTATAAAATGAGAACAATAGTAGTACTTACTATCTCATAGGGTTGTCGCAAGTATTAAATAGAACTTACAAAAAGCACTTTGACCGCGTCTACTAAATTGTAAGCACTCAGTAAGTGTTACCTACTATTGTTATCCCTTAAGTTATCATGAGCGTGAGGATTTTCAACACAGGCTTTATATATTTTTTTCTCTCTATTAATTCTTGTTTTGGATGATCTTGAAAGCAATGACTGTTTACAATTATGAGACACTAAAGATACCCCTGCAAGCCACCTTCTTGGTATCTTGGCCAACTTTAAATAAATCTTGGCAAGAAAAGGTATCAATAGCAAATACACCAAAAACAAAAACAAAAACCAGAAAAAAAAAAAAAGCAGAAACAAAAAACAAAAACCTTAAGGTAACAAGTATTGTCCTAAGCCTCAGAAATTGAGTGTTAAAAATAAAAGCTAGGTGACAGAGGTGAACCTAAGAAAGAAAAAGCTGAGAAATAAGCACTGAATCTATATACACTTGGAATGTTTTAAAGAAAGTGTGTACCTGCTCATCAAATTTGTATGGGGAGGAAATGAAATAAGTGAAAGCAGTCTAGAATTTTACTTTAGATATAATCATACAATTCCATGTATTATTTTTGCCTTTGATTGCTCTCCCAGCACCCTCTTTTCCATTACAATCCCAAGAGGCAAGGAGAAGAGGCATCCAGTGAGATAAAACAGGGGAACACGATGGCTCAGCAATGCCCTCACATAGAACCATTTCCCTGCTGCTCTGCGCTTACAGAATTTTATTTGCGTAGAAGAACTGCAGGATCTCTGGATGATAATGGCTCTGAAAGAAATTAGCAAAGGTACGCGTGAGGGCGGGATTCAGCAAACTTCCTTGACTATGTAACTAGTAGGCAGTGGTCAGTGCAGGGCACGTGGATAAGCAGGACAGGTGGAGGCATCACCTGCGTCCAGCTAGTGACCTGAACTGGAACTGCCAATATATCTCGTGCTTGATCCTCTAGGCGTTTTGTCATTTACGTTGTATGACGGGTCAATTACAATCAAAACATAGTTGGCTTGGCTGGGCATGCTGGCTCACACCTGTAATTCCAGCACTTTGGGAGGCCGAGGCAGGCAGATCACTTGAGATCAGAAGTTCAAGACCAGCCTGGGCAACATGGTGAAATCCCATCTCTACTAAAAATACAAAAGTTAACCGGGTGTGGTGGCACACGCCTGTAATCTCAGCTACTCAGGAAGCTGAGGCACGAGAATCGCTTGAACCTGGAGGTGAAGGCTGCAGTGAGCCGAGATGGTGCCACTGTACTTGCTCTGGGTGACAGAGCAAGACTCTGTCCAGAAAAAAAAAAAAAAGAAAGAAAAAAAACATAGTTGGCCTGAGTCATTTTATGGGGGGTATCTCTTTCTTGTGCTTGGCCACCTTCCGTGTTAACCACCAGGAGGGCAGGGACCGGAAGAGAATTCTCTCCTACCCTGGCTCACTCACCAGCTGCCGGTAGAGCTTAGTGTTCCTTTGATCTTCTTCGCTCTGGAAGCTGTATTCCTTCCTTAGTTTCAGATATGGAGAACAGGCTCGAAATGTTGTTTTGCAAGCCTGAGAAAAATAGTGTTACTATTTTATTTATTAGAGCATTCTATAATCCCAAGCAAGGAAAAGTATCCCAGAGGATTGCACCCAATCTGTGGTCAGGGGGCCACTGAAAGTGTGAAAGTAACTTCCAGGTAGTTTCAACATTTGAATCTTAAAGGATGTATGCTTATAAGACGGCCATGTCTATAATTTGGGGACTGGCGGGAAGGGCATAGCTTTATAGTTGAGCACAGCCCTTGTTATTATCTCATCAAAAGTAGTACTGGATTCCGAAATTTCATTTCTCTCTCAGTAACTTAAAGAAGGCAAGTGGTTTGGTAGAAAGCTTTTCTCCCAGTTGGTTTGAAACGTTCACCAAGTCCCACTCCAAAGCTGGCCTGAAGTTGATTCAACCTTGTTAGGACACATTTTCTCCAAGAATACAACAAAACTACCAGAAGAAATTAATAAGTCATGGGTGGAGCCAGGCGAGGTGGCTCACGCCTGTAATCCCAATACTTTGGGAGGCTGAGGCGGGTGGATCACCTGAGGTCAGGAGTTCGAGACCAGCCTGGCCAACATGGTGAAATCCCATTTCTACTAAAAATATAAAAAATTAGCAGGGCATGGTGGCGGGCACCTGTAATCCCAGCTACTCAGCGGGTTTAGGCAGGAGAATCACTTGAACCCCAGAGGCTGAAGTTGCAGTGAGCTGAGATCCCACGATTGCACTCCAGCCTGGGCATCAAGAGCAAAATTCTGTCTCAAAAAAAAAAAAAAGAAGAAGAAGAAGAAAGAAAGAGAGAGAAGGAAGGAAGGAAGGAAGGAACGAAGGAACAAAGGAGAAAGAGAAAGAAAGAAGAAAGAGAGAGAGAGAGAGAAAGAAGAAAGAAAGAAAAAGAAAGAAAGGGAAAGAAAGAAAGAAAAAAGAAAGAAAGAAAGAAAGAAAGAAAGAAAGAAAGAAAGAAAGAAAGAAAGAAAGAAAGAAAGAGAGAGAAAGAAAGAAAGAAAAAGAAAGAAAGAAAGAAAGAAAGAAAGAAAGAAAGAAAGAAAGAAAGAAAGAAAGAAAGAAAGAA